GTCCGAACATGACAGGTTGAGCTCTTGCCTTGACCCCTGGACAGTCTGGATTCCGAGTCACTAGAAACACTAGAAGATGCCTCGAGCAACGCAAACCTAAAGAGGGATGAAACAGAATCAGGAATCGAGACGAAAATGAGGGTCCGGAGTTTGGCAATCAAGAAACAGACAGTAGTTGAACCAAACGGTGTTGAGTTCGGTTGGGAAGGCATGTTGGAACACCAAACACCCACCCCCAAACTGCAAACCCAATAATTTGAGGACCTCGTCCTGGCGGGCTTCGTAATAGAAACTTGGAAACTAACACTACAGAAACCCTCAGGAATAGTGTCACTCATTATTGAGGCCCCTGCCTGAATTGTAAAGTGCTCGGTGTTTGACCCTGGGCCAAAAATCCGCCGAAGACTTTGCAGACCTGAACTTGTACTGCAACCCCCTACGATAGGCCATGCAAACCACGAACTCAACCGCCCTCTAAACTCAGAAAAACGAATCTATAAACCCTGCCACACAGAAACCCTACAGCATCCAACGAAAAAGTAGAGACGCCAATGGCATGAAAGCAAACAGCCCTAAACCCCATTCGAGACCAAGAATCCCGGAAGAAGGGAATCCGGAAAATGGCATTGTGGCCCAGGAGGTGAACGCTCAGGCCGGGGAAGGCTGTCGAGAAGCCTCGACTTCCACTGGTTGGGTTGCAGGGTGTAGGATTTAGGGTTTACAATAGGGTTTAGGAGTTTAAGAGACCTACATGTCAAGGGGTTGATACGGATTAGGCGTTCAGGGTTCGCAGTGTGAGTGTGGGGATGAATGAGAGGTTCGGGGATTGGGAGTTTGGCGTTTCGGGAGAATACTATAGAAGCCTCAACAACTACCTATACTGTTTTGGGGGTTCCTTATTAACAAAAAATATCATGGGCCCCAAACCCTAGTACATTTGGGCTTTGGGTTCTGGTAGCACGACGCTTAGGGTGCTTACGAAGGACACGAAAAGAATTGCTGTCAAGGGGCAAGCGACTACTTTGAGGTGTGGCTGTACCACCGATGTGTAGTTACTTTTATGAACAATTGTGATATGTTGTTCCCCGGTGTGGTCAAACGGGTACAATCTATGTACATATGGGACAATAGTTGCTTAATCTGTCGGTCTGTCTGCCTCTCTGTCCGTCTATAATATGCATGCATTGTCTGCATCACGGTATTTCTATACGCAGACAATGTACGAGCTCAGAGAATGATACACTTGTGAGTGGACCAGTAAAACATGTCAACAAACACAAACCTGACAACGTTTCGAACACAGCACGTTCCTAATTCTCAGCAGCACGTAATTTCAGGGAAAAGACAAACATGAATATTCTTGCCGCAAACTAGTCTGAGCTCGCTAACGATGGGCAATTGCCAACTCGTCCGTATATTTTGCGATTGTTCGACGTCTCAGATGTGAGTTCAAAAACTGAAAGGGCTTCAGAGGATCTAGATCTCTGTTATACTCTGTTTGCCTTCTAATTACTTCGTAAGGACGAGCCCGTACTGCTCTCTTGAGAGATAACGATTCACATGACGACTTTGAGATACTTTGGGGACGAAGTTCAAGGGAAAGACTACAGAATGTAGGGTCGGCCGTGTAGTCATGCCATTGTGTTTAGTTGCTTCAAGTGCCAGGACGTCCGAACTGCATCAACCCTCAACGTGGTCTTGATCACAACTTTTTCAATTATCACTACCTGAGTTTCACACACGCACATCTGGTACCTATGCCATGCACGAAACGGACCAGCAGAAAAATCACTGCAATGGAGTCTCCGCAGGCATCCGTCCCAAAGGCCGTCATTGGAGATACCCCGATGATACCTTGATTCTTTCGGCGTCAGGGTTGGGGTAAGCTTCAGCATCCCGTTTTATCATGCCAATTCCCTTTATCGCCCAGACAAGTTCGACCCAATTCAGTTCGGGTCTGAGCTGCCCGATACAAGCGCCAAAGAAGAAAACGCCGCAAATATGTCGGCACAGGACTGCTATGTCCACAGTGCCAGTCCCACACGTAGCTTCACGTCTCTGTGAACTACCTTGTTGAATACACCGTGTCAACCTGAAAAAGGGCTTGAGGGGCTCCAGGTCCGAGTTCGTTCCAATGCCTGGGGAGCCGAGATACCGTGCGGATGGCACACGAAGATGTAAGGTCCCTTTTCGGCAGGGAGAGGTGCGGTCACTCGCATGGTGACCTGAGAACTCGTTGAAACAGGGCCCTGAATCCCAGCACTGATGTCCTGTGCAACTGCATACACTCAACAGTCGAAGTTGTGTGCCAACGAGCTTCCTCAAACATCAGAAATGAATCACACTCCGGTCTCTCTCGCATGAGGACCTAAACGCATGGCCAACACATTCGAAACGCACGCTGCTATAGATGTGGGACATGTTTGAGGTGGCTTGCGCAGAGTGCTCACTCTGTAGCGAGCTTGCAGGGAAGGGTGTCGACATGGAGATGGCGCGGATAGCATCACATTGAGCATGCTCTGGGTAGCTATTGTGCGAAAAACCTAAGCATCCCTCATGTAGCAGTGCTTCGTGTTGTCGGGCGGCAGGAAAATATCGCGAAGCCCACTGCCAAAAGAAGCCCCTGCGTAGGCAATCCTGAGCAAACAGCGAAGCAGGCAACTGGCTGAGGTTCTGCACAGCTCGGAGCTACCCTGAACCCCGAACCCCCAAAATTACAGGCGTGCTGGAGCAGCTGCAGGCCATACAATCGTAACCAGGTTTCCATCTTGCATGCAATATAGCATCTGTGGTTCAACCGCCCCTACACTCCCAAGGTCTTCAATAGGGTTTGTGGGTTGGGCTCAGGCGGGCGAGCGCAATCTATGCCCGAGGCATGTGGGGGCTTTTGTTCGGGCCTTCGCCGTGACTTAGGGTCTGGACTTATAGGCTTTAGGTCTAGGATTTTTGATATCTTGCTGGCTAGCCAGACGTTTTGTGCACAATGGAGCGTTAACTCCAAGACCTGAGCCCGCCCTGAACTCAGAACAAAAGCATGCTTTTGCCGCCGGGTGGCAGTGATGCCGAGCTTCCACAGAAGCCTCCGACGGTGGTAAGGTCTAGAAGCCAGAAGGCATATGTAGCAATAACAGCAAGAGCAACATCATGTTGCAATAACACTAAACACCTGTTTCACAGTGGATTGTTGCTGCAGCAGTCAAGACAATAAACTTCAAAGCCTGCGTAAATTCGAACAGGACTTAGAGCACAAATGTGCTAGCGCTGGGTATAGCTGCAGAGCGTATACAGGCACATGCTGATGTTGCTGACCGTCATCCACGCTCCAGCATGTGTATTAAGCTTGTGCGGCAAAACATGTCTAGTGCGATAATAACCTTCACTTACATACTCTTTTAAAACGGTGGAGCTAATGGGTTCTCAGAGTTCAACGGACCGTGTGGACTACTTACATGGCTCACACACTGGGTTGCAAGCGGCGCATCTTTTCTTGTTGCTTGCAAGCTGCGAATATCCGCCTTTCTCGGGGCAGGGATCCTGCGGTTGGTGGCAGCTGAAGTTTACCGTGACCAAAGCCGATTACATGTGGGGTAGAATTGGCGGCCACTGGTATTCGCGAGAAGTATGAGCAGCGTTCGACTGAATCAAGCATCTTTCCGCAAGGCCTGGCTTTAACCCGCAAGCCCTATTCAGTCCACTAGCATCCAGCAGAAGTAGGCCAGCAGAAGAGATCGGAGAGTGCTGCCGCCATATGCAAAGAGAGCTACCTCGGAGATGCGCTGCGTCAGCTTCTTTAGCCTAGAGGGGGACTACAAGGAGATCATGGACCGTTCCCTGCGATGCTCTAGAAGTCGGCTCTCAAGTCTAAAGTCGCTGCGAGGCACTGTAGCACTGAGGCATGCCGCGATCGAGTTCAAAGGAAACGTGCACAGGAACGTTGCGCAAATGACCGTATCCATCGCATCAGCGAGCGGGTATACCACGCAACCCTGCCCAAAGGGACCTAGAGGTGGGAAATTGCAGGTTCGAATGTGGTGCAGCAAGCATGAAGTGCTGCATGGCTACATCGATCCCTGTGCGAAGCCTCCTATCGGTTCCAGCTGTTGGCTTATGGAAGCTGACAAGACCAATCGCAATCGCCTGAGCTTTTACTGCAATATGTCGGAGCCCATCGTTTCGCGGTTTTGCGTCGTGTGGGTCTGCGGGAACACTGGTCATAATCTTCATCACAACATCAACTCTGTAAGGCTCCATGCCGTGATTCAGGGTGTCGGGCTGGGGTCTCTTTATTTTGGGTTTGGGTGGGTACCCCGCTATTGCTACACCCCAACATCGGGATTTCATGCAGGAGGCTGCCTAAGCCAGACAGCTACAACGAGCATCGGACACCCATGCCGCGCGAGCATGGGCGAGCACCATGCGAAACCTTCTGTCGTCGACGATGACGAACTCTACTTTGGCTTCGAGCTCTGCGTGAAGCTGCTTGTGACCGTTGCTGCTGCAATTGTTCGTCGGTCATGGTACTCAATGAACATGTTGCTGCGCTGTGCTAGTTTAGCTTGCTACATCGTGGGGCCACCGGCTAAAAACTGTAAATCTCGCCACGATGCGCAAGCCAACCTCAAAGCACAAGCTGTCCGGAAGCGGATGCCGGGACGTGATGGACCCAACACACAACAAAAACAAGCAGCATGATAACAACAATCAACTTGAAGCTTGGGCAAGACTGGATTGTCGTCATGCAGGTCATGGCGATGATGATGACGATGATGATTATGGTGATGATGATGATGATGCTGGTGATGATGGTGTTGGTCATGATGGTCATGCTACTGGTCACAGTGTTGCTGTATGCTGGCCTAGGAGCTTGCAAAGGTGCTGCTCCCGCACGACCATCACACAGATAAGAAAAAGCAATACGGGGAAGGATCAAGCCGGGCACGGTCGACCTAACCTCACAACCGAATTATTGAGTTGAACCAAGAGATGATACCAGAAAGGGCCTCGGCTGTCAGCGCACCCAGAAAGCCCTGCAAGCCTCGGGGAGGGTCAGGTCGAGGGCCCAATCTACATGCATGCAGCAGTTGAACCCAAGCACCACAGCTGAAAGGTCTAGAAGATCGACCTCTTGTGGCTATAGCCAAGCCCCCAGTGAACGACAGCAATAATCAAAACTTGTCACAGCTGAAGGAGATCAAGCTGCTCGATATAGTAGCTGCTTTCGGACTATAACGCTCAGTCCTGAACGTCTTCGCGATATGAGCCGGAATCATCAACACCGCTTCAACATCCAGGACGTACCAGCATCCATCTCCGATGCCAATTGCTGAAGTTGCACCGAAGCTGACGTCTCGGAGTTTGTTGCTATGTCTTCGCAGTCCGGAAAGAAAGCGCCCCACCGGAGCCCCCCCTTGAGCCTGTACTTGGAAGCCCTGCCCCTTATGCATCCACCCCCGGAAGCCAGCACAAGGCCATGAACACATATCAGAAGCCAGTAGCTAGAAAATCCGCCTATCCTAAACCGTAGCCGTAGCCCTATACATCCTAACCCTGGCACCTGTATACTGTATACTTGGGGGTTTTCGAAAATAGGGGACACTAATGATATAGTACCCTAAATAGTAGGATCCTTATTATAAGGACCCCAAAATAAGGTACCCCCTATTTTCGGAAACTCCCACTTGTTCCTTCGCCCAGGAGCGCTCCGAAGAGGGACGTCCTCGAAAAGGGCGGGGGGAACTCTGTCAGGCGTCAGGGCACATACCTGTAGTCTCCATTGTAGTTCCTTTTTTTTGGTTTAACCATATANNATATATATATATATTAACGAGTTTATAAGGTATCCCCAAAAAGGAACTACAATGGAGACTAGAGGTACGATTCAGGAACTCGTTCCGCTTGGCAACAGAAAGGATGGTGTGGGTTCGGCACTGATTAGTTGTGATGGACAAAACAGGCTCTTGTGCTATTTGGCTGCTTTGTTCGTGCGGTGGTTAAGGTTAGGATCCTGTCTGGTTCACAGAAGCCCTCAATCGATTCATCCTCACCAGCTCGAAAACCCCTGAACCCTGAAACCCTAAACCCTAAACCCTGAAACCCTAAACGCTAAACCCTAAAATGCTGTCAAGACAGTAACCTCACAACCTCAGGCTGAAGCCTGTTCGGAACATAAGCACGAAGCCTTCTAACTCTTGTGGATGTCCTAAGTCCTCGGGTAAGGGAGTTTAGGTGTACTGAGCCCTTGCAGGACATGGGGAGTAGAATTGGCTTTGTGATCGAACTGATTTGTTTCGACCCCACCGCCCGTCGATACGTAAGAGTGTCGGGTTCGGGTTATGGGTGTTGGAAACGGTTGAGACGTTTGTGGTTCAGGCTTTATCAGAATGTGTCAGGGTTGAGGGTCTGTGGCAGCTCGGGTAGAATCTGTAGAATGCAAGCTTCATGTTATGTCTGAAGCCTGTAGTCCGAATTCAAACCCTACACCGTAAGAAATTCGGAGCTACAGCGCTACCGATACAGATGCAAACCACTTGGGGGCTTCGAGGTTGGGGGATATACATTGATAGTATAGGAGCCGCAGTAATTCGAATAGGGTTTTGGGCTTCTTTGTAGAAAAGGACAATAAGGAGCCCAAAGGAAGAATATTGGTAATTATCGAGGCCTCTACATTTTTTATACTGTATACCCTATCGAAGAATGCCTGATTTCACCTGTCAACACCCTGACACAAAATGAAGGCCCTAGACAAACCCCCGACAGGCCCTGTTAACACTTCAAAAGTCCTAGGGGCTGATTACCCTAACCCCAAAAAAAGTAAACCTTTTCAATTATGGTAGGATTATATAAACCCCAAAAGGTTAAAGGTTACCTACTCAGCCACTAAGAAGTCCTTTGACGCCGAATTGCCTTGCGGAATCCTAGAGAAACACAGTTATGCACAACCAAGCCATGCAAAAGACCCCTAATGGGGTTTACGCTCTCACAACTCGGACATGCAATGCTGGGGTTTAGGGCTTAGGAATTTAGGGTTTTAGGGTGTGTCCAAGAATATCTAACCTAAACACCGACTAAAGATAGCAGTGCTCTAAAGTCTAAAGACAGCTGCGGCATCACCGAGGACCCTACGGGGCTCGGCAGGAGCTTGATCGATTCCCAAGGCCTCACCCAGTCAGCAGCGAGTTGAACGAGATAGTCTTTTCTAAAATTCAAGAGTTCAGGGCCATTGAACCCCAATTTGAACATGCACAAAGTCAAACCATAAGCACTCGTTCATGGCATCAGGGTGCCTCTTGCACGCAGTTGAGGGCGCAAAGGCTGGTTATGGGCTCCAGACTTGATCTAACTGCACCCACTGTCTAGCTGTAGATGCAAACTCTCTGGGCATCATGACGTGGTTTGAACATAGCAACTGCAAAATCCGTCTAGCAAACCAAGTCTAACACACGGGCCACCGCGCCAAACCCGATGCAACCGTGTAATTACTTCCGAGCAACGTCACAGCACATCTGAGCAAGCCTGGCTATGGACTCCGCTGCACAGCAGCACAACCTGTCAACACTAGCCGGTGCGCACTCTTTCGGTCTTTGACAGCTCCAGAACAGGTGGTCTACAAAACTGACGACATGGTGCGATCAGCGTTGTGGTGATTAATTTGAGGGTGGCACTCCAGTAAGCTATCTTGTGATTTCATGCAGGTGCTAGCCCTCAGAACGAAGCCGCAGTAAGTCAATGGCATGTGGGAACAGCAGCGATCATGATGATTTAGTCTGGCTGTGTGACAGCAGCCAATTGAGTGCAATTGCTGCTGGCGCTTTGTCGGTTCAACGACAAAGTAGCAAACAAATCGACACCATATGTGCAGTAAGCAGCGAGAGCAACACTAACGGAGACAATCACGGAAGCACAACCATACCATCAGCATCGACGTGGTCGCCGTCACGATGTTTTAAATGCTGGTCATGTTCACGGCGAAGCCGACGATGACGATGATAATTTGATGATAATGATGATGACGACGGCGATGAAACTGTGATGATAGCGTTAGTGCTGGTAACTCATCACGATTAATAGTAAGATGATCCTCATTGTCATCAAAAATGCACCGGGCAGGTGGTCTCAAATGGTCTGAATAACAGTCATCATGCAGATCGGCCCTCATTGACCACATGCTTCTTGGATTTAGAAGCGCATCTTCGGGATGCAGCGTCCAGGTTCCCCACGTCCAAACCGTAGCTGCGAGCCCCACGCACATCGTGCCAAGCCTGGGCGTCTGTATTGCATCGTTTGGCACTGCAGAAAAAACAACTGTCAACTGTCCTACACCGGCTGATTTTTGCGGAGAGATGAGGGTCGTAGTTTAGCGCATAAGCCTGAGCATCTTCAACTCTGTGTGGACACTCAGCCCACGAAGGAAAGCCCCAACTCTTCACGGACGGAAGATTTCATGCACAAAACTGATCTTACCACAGGGCCGTGACAGACGTGTTGTAACAAATTTGACTGCTGCAGGGCTTTCTGCCTAAGCCCAATCATGCAAGGCCTGCATATGGCGACTTTCTGGCGACTTTCTGCTAAACCATGCACCCAGACTCGCCAGAAAAAAACGCTGATCAAACAGCTCTCAGACAGATACAGCTGTGCGTGCCTAGCCCTCAACCCCAAACAGAACGAGCTTCCCTGCTTAGCTTCAAGGGTGAGGCGAAAGCTGAACTTTGGGATTTGGGCATCTGGGGATCCCTAAACCCTACCATTACTCATAGGCCCCATATACTAAGGATTTTTATAAGGTATCCCCAAAAAGGAACTACAATGGAGACTATAGGTAAAGCCGTTGTGGGGTAAGAGTTCCCAAGAGGGTAGGTTAGATTTTTCCTGCTGCGACCGTCACTCGGCCCTTGTAGAACGGACACCACTTGACTACCTAGGCCCTAGATCTTACGAGCCCTACTCAATCGAAGTCGGTCATTCGACCAGAGAGGCCTGATTTGGAAGTGTAGGCTGTCCTTCGACTATGGTCCACTTTCGTGTACCCCATCGCAACACACCACTACTCAGTCACCGCAGTAGTTTACAAGTCCCTGGACTGCAGTTTCAATTTCAGGTTCCGGCAGAATCACCCACCATGCAAAGTCGAGCGTCTGCAGGAACACCTGCCTGCGAAGGGGCTTGAGTATGGCAGCTGCCTTCGCGCTTGGTTTTCATGTTTGGCGACACAAGCCGCAAAAAAACCTGAACCGGCTCTGATGCTCGGTTGAGATCCAAGAAACGATGCGTTCTGACCCTCAAGCACACGTCGAAGGCATATGGCCTGTTTCCGGTACAGGTTCTAACCGTTCGCATAGCGAAGTCATTCAGTCATCCGACATGGCCTAACCAATCCCAAACCAGCCTGATACATGGGCGAGGAAAGAGAACAAAACTAGAAACAACATCTAATATGAACGTGTAAACCGACCAGTAGGAGATTTCAAACATCCTGTAGCCATGATGTCGAAGTCTCATGTTTTATTGAATGGTCTGCCAACCCACTCAAAACCCCAAACGTCTCCCGCTGTCAAGGCCTCTGGCTTTGCAGTACAAAAGGTCAAAAGGGCCTCCTGCAGTCTCTGCAGCGCCAAGTCAAACACCGCCGGATAGGGCCTTTGCTTCGAGTCGTGTGTTGGGCTTGGTACGAGCTTGGGTTCCGGGATATCTGCAGGAATCATACCGGCTGGCACTTCAGTCACTGCCACAACTACGTAGTGCTGCTACTACGTTACTACTGCTGTTGCTGCTGCTACTGCACGGCTACTACTACTGCTGCTGCTGCTGCTGCTGCTGCTACTACTACTGCTACTACTACTGCTACGAATACTACTGCTACGACTACTACTGCTACTACTACTACTACTACTACTGCTACTACTACTACTGCTACGAATACTACTGCTACGAC